GTGTCTAGTGAAAAACTTCTGTGCTCTGGATGCCTGGCTATTTGCGGGGATTGCCTCCAGTTCACGGTCTTAGTGACCGTGAACTCACAGCCCAAACCGTGAACTGTTGTTGTATCACCGTTTGACTTGATCTTTCGCCCTTTCGTCCAACTTTCGACTCATGGGTAGGTTCTACCTGCCAAAGTCTGAAAAATACCAAAACAAGGCAAAACCAGACGTAAAACCAAACCTTCCAGAGTAAAAATGCTTCAAACTACTAAGCAAACCGGGGATAAAAAGTGTACAAATGAGCTCGAATCACTAAGGTACCGGTGGTAGGACCTGTGAATGTGGTGGGTGTTGTGGTGGTGGTGGTAATGCAGAGAAGGAAATAATGGAGGCAGATGGAGCGCGTGGACCAGATGGCCTCCTCCACCGCCGTCGCACCGACATAGGAGCTTAACTCGCTGCACCCGTCGTAAACATTGCCCCCCACGATGGTCGCTTGGTTGCAGAGACACTCCCGATACCTAACCACTGCCGCCGCCGCTGAGTTAGCTTTGATGATGGTGGAGTTGTTAGGTCCGCCGCCACTGTTGTCACGATGGTGGTGATCTAGGGTTTGGGAGTAGCGGAGGAATGTCGAGTTGCCATTTGATTCCCGACACCTCTTCTTCCTCCACCTCCGCTTGACATTCTCACATCATTGTTCTCCACTTGCCCTCTCACTTCCATAACCATTGCTCCCCTCAATTTCTCTCCTCAATTTCCCGAAGAAGAAAAAAAAACCCAAACAACTAAGAAAGATGTTCCTCTTCCAACCAAGCATGAAGGCTAGTCTAGTAGTGTAAGAATGTATTTATTTTTTATGTTTTAATAGTTAAGAAAATGAGATGGAAATAAAAAAATATTTTTTAATTTTTAATTGTCATGTCACTTATTTAACGATCAACTATCCGAGTTGACTGCCACATAAGCTAAACTTAACGGACACTAACGGAGTGTGACCAATCTTGAATAGAAGAACTACTTTTAGTGGCCATGAATGGAATAAAATACGTTTAGTGACCAAACGTAAATTTTTTAGTACTTCTAGTGACCAACCTTCCAATTTATCCATTTAGTTCAGATAACTCAAATTATTAGGATATGTTGACTCAATACTACACAACTCCTAATAGCGACCAAGTGTAACGAATGAAAGGGTCTGCAGTATAGTGGTGCAAGTAAGAAATATCGAATCCACGAGGTCTCTAAATTTACCATTACTCAACTTCAGCTTGTTATCTAGCAAATTAGATTAAGTTTTGATTAACTAAACTACTCCTACAAGCTACTATAGCTTAGAATACTAATTATAGCTTGGAACTCACTTAGGTATGATTCCCTGTCATAATCGGGTAGCTAGATTAGTACAATATTGTCAGCTTTGTCCCGAGCCCGCACGGATTTAATTTTGGATGACCTCCCCAAAAGGCTTCGTACTAATTGGGCTAGGTGGACACTAATATACAAGGGTTCCTTCCCTTGTATTTTCAATGTGGTACTTGGATTGTCCCATAACAATCCTCCCCTCCTCAAGACAAGTACCACGAACTTCGTGTCCTCTCCTTAGTGATTATCTTGATCCGTCAGACACCTTGCATCGATGTGCTTCTTGTTACAAGGATTTTTCCCAGATGCAAAACTCTCTTTGATTTGCCAAACCAGATGTAGCCCAGATGCAAAACCAGACGTGGATCACTCCTTGATCCACCGGACATACGTAGATTGCAAATCATGAGGTCACCGAATGAGGGTCCACCCAACTGACGTCCACCGCCCTAAACCCAAACAGGCTCTGATACCACTTGTCGAAACTGGGGTGCTCAATTAGTACGATATTTTCTGCTTTGTGCCAAGCCCGCACGGTTTTACTCTTGGTTTTCCTCCCCAAAAGGCCTCGTACCGATTGAGCTAGGTGGACACTAATATACAAGGGTTCCTTCCCTTGTACAACCGATGTGGTACTTGGATTGTCCCATAACAATTGAGGGTCCACCAAACTGACGTCCACCGCCTTGGACCCAAACCAGGCTATGATACCACTTGTTGAAACCGAGGTGCTCAATTAGTACGATATTGTTTGCTTTGGGCCAAGCCCGCATGGTTTTACTCTTGGGTGTCCTCCCCAAAAGGGTTCCTTCCTTGTACAACAAATGTGGTACTTGGATTGTCCCATAACAATCCTCCCCTCAAGACAAGGACCACGAACTTCGTGTCCTCTCCTCAACGATTATCTTGATCCGCCAGACACCTTGTATCGATGGGCTTCTCACTACAAGGATTTTCACAGACGCGAAACTCTCTTTGATCCGTCAAACAAACTTGGATCTCTCTTAGATCCACCAGACAGACTCGGACCTCCCTTGATCTGCCAAACCAGATGTAGGCCAAACGTGGATCTCTCGTGGATCCACCAAACAGACGCGGATCACCTTTGACCCGCCAGAAAAACGCAGATCTCAAATCCCGAGGTAAGCGAACGAGGGTCCCAACAAACTGAAGTCCACCACCCCGGATCTGTCGAACCAGGCTCTCATACCACTTTTCATAACCGGGTAGCTCAATTAGTACGATATTGTCTGCTTTGGGCCAAGCCCGCACGGATTTACTTTTTGGTGTCCTCCCCAAAAGGCCTCGTACTAATTGGGCTAGGTGGACACTAATATACAAGTGTTCCTTCATAAAATCATCCAATCAAACAAACATAGCTAGGGTTCCTGATAACCTAAGTGAAAGGAAGTTACTCCATAGAGAAGAGAGAATGCAGAAATCTGATCAAGATCTTCAATCTCCATCTCCAAGCTTGATTGTCGAGCTCCAATGGAGAAGAAAAATCCTCCAAAATAGCTCCAATAATGATCTCAAGGTGCTCTCTCTCTAGGGTTAGTCCCTTGGGTGTTTGGGATCCAAAACCCAGCTCTCTCTCTCTCTCTCTCTCTCTCTCTCTCTCCAAAAACGCACAAAATAGACTTTTATACCCGCTTCTGGAAGTTCCCCAGTAATATTACCCGATCGGATAGTTGTACTTGGTGACCGGGGATCTTCAAAAAGCTCCGGGTCACTTTTCTGTGCAAAAGGGGAATTTCCTGATCGGGTATTTCATATCCCCGGTCGAGTAATTACACCTCCTGACCAGGAAATTCTACTAATCAAAATCCCCTATCGGGGATTTGAACCTCCAGACCGGGGATATCACCATTACGGTTCCTTGTCTTTGATTCTTTGTTTCTCCCTTGTTCGAACTCCGAATCAGGTGTCATTTGATCTCAGATGCTCGTAATCTCGTCCTTTTTTCTTACATTACAAGATTACATGATTATTTGATCACAAAATGAGGTAGAAATCCATTCTTCTTTAGGTCATCCCCGAGTTTCTTCTCCCGAGTTGCCAATTGATCTCCGATTGACTTGAAACTTGCGGCTATGCTTCACTTTGCATGCTAGGACCTGAAATGTAACAAAGGAACACAAACTAGCATAAAAATCGGCCGAAGAAACTATAATTCAAGCTTAAATGATCAAGAAACAACAGGGAAAACATGTGAAAATATCGAGTCATCAAATCCTCCACACTTAACTGTTTGCTTGTCCCCAAGCAAACCTGACTCAAATCAATGCAACTCTCCATACCTTTACAAGAACATGCAACCCCGATCGTTGGTAGCAACTTCCTAGATCATTTAGCACCTTACGAGGTCAACCAACGCACAAGACACCTCCTAGCTTCTTCGGCAAGAACTCTAGTCTCAAGTCGGGATCATGCCAAGTAGTGATCGGAGGAAAAATGATTCGTGGACAAAGATACTCTAAAAAACAGAAAGATCATGGACTCACTTTTTTAGGTGCTCTATTTTTTTCTTTAAATATTGTTGGAATCCCCTTTTTTCTTGTTTCTTCTTTTTCTTTTCTTTTTGCAAGGGGTTCCAACCTGTTTTTTTCACAAAACGGGGCTCCCACCTAGCAAAGGTTTTGAGAGAGCCCAGCTCTTACCGGCCATGCCGAAAGCATATGTCACAAGCCTCTTGTGGGGGAAAGAGATGTAAGGGGGCTGGAGGTAGTAGGTGAAAGTTGGGAACATATTCTCCTCTCCCCTTACACACTTTTACCGATTTCCACACGGGAGACATTGTTTTAAAATCACAATATATAGCATATTTTTCAAAACATGATACATAAGTCCATGAAAGGTAGAGATTCATGGATACCACACGATTCAAGTGTCCTAAGATCACTAATTCACACAATCATCCAACACAACATGAAGAAGAAAAGAGATTTCCTAACTGCATCAAGAACCTCCATAGTGCTACACTACCTCTCTAGGTTGCATGGTACCATAAAGACTATCAATTCAAAGCATATTGAGCAGGTGATTGCAAGGAGAAAAGTACTTGGAGCCCTCAAATCAATATTTGGACAGTGGACTAGGCTCCAAGCACACACATACAACCAAACATTCACACGCATACATAATCGAACACCCCCCACACTTAAACACGACATTGTCCTCAACGGATGTAAGATGGGGAGGGTGGAATGAAGTTACTAGATCAAGTGTGAATGATGGTGTACATGGTAGACGGTGCATTCCAGGAGGAGAGAGAGTAGTCAAACCACAAACCCCACAAAATCTCACAAAAGTTGAGTTATTGACTCTAAAATTAAAGAACAAAACTGACTCAACCGAAGAGAAATAGTGAAAGAAATGCAAACCGACTGGTTGGGTTACCTCCCAAAAAGCACTTCTTTCATGTCTTGACACAGACGGTGGCTCCTAAGTTTCGGTCCACCCCAGAACCTTCGTGAAGTTGAGGTTCTCGTCGATAAGGTGGAGTCTCAAGTCACGAGCATGTGGTGTGGTAGGTGATGAAGGCTCGTACACTTGATGCAGATGAAGTCTCCACCCTCGAGACCTCTTCTTCTCTTCTCTCGTCTCATTGCCCCAAACCAGATATGACACCATCGCTTAACCATCATCGCGTACACCAAGAGTGACCGATGTCGATGTGGCCTTGGTGTGGCAAAGAGACACTGCAAATGGGTCCCTGCCAAGCAGCTCCTCAAATTTTGGTGGAGATATCACTGGTCACTCATGGTCGGTGCAAGCCTCTTCCACCTCAACTTCATCATCACCCTCGACGCCAATTGCTACCTCAACCCCCCTTCCTTCTTCAAAATGTGGTATCTCCCCTGGGAAAAGATCAAGAACTCTTTCTGCTTCACTTTCGTCATCCTCCGAAACTTCTTTCCTCACCCTTTCTCACTCTTATTCTTCTTCCAAAATGGATTGGAGAGCAAGTCGCCAAGCATTTTCTTCGATGAGATCATCTTGCATCTCCTCACTCATGCCCACCTCGTCAAAGCTCGGTGTGGGATGTGGAAAGGTGTGGTCGGCTATAACAGGACATTCCTGATCATGATCATCACGGGAGCTCTCTCTGACAACTTCTGTCTGCTCCACAATATCCTTGTAGCCTCCTTCTTCCTTCATCCTCCTACTCTTATTCTATAGTAGCAGAAAGGAGATCCTGAACAAGTTGTGCACAAACTTGCTCAATCAATTTTGTTTGCTTTGCTGAGTGTAGGGCTGCAAATGGGCCAAGCCTCTCGCAAAAAACTCGACATCCGAATTGGAAAAAACTCGTTCGAAACTTGGCTCGTGAGCCGACTCGTTAGTAAACGAGCCAAGCATGAGCCAAACCATGCTGAGCTTGATAAGCCCATGAGCTAATTTGACTCGGTGGCTTGTTGAGCTAAGCTCGCGCGCTGGCTTTTCAGAGCTTGTAGAAGGATTAATTATTATTCTGAACATGAACATTATCTTGTTAATCAGTATATGTATGGAAGTTAGGTGTTATTTTTAGTTTCTAGTGTTATTTTTATAATTTAAATTATTATTTCTACACATTTTTAAGCAAAAATGATTTCAAATCGAGCTCATCTTGAGTCGAGCTTGTACTCAGCTTGACAAGTTGTGTTAATGAGCATTTATCGAGCTCTACCGAGTCGAGCTCGAAATTTCTAAATGACCCGAGCTCAAGCTAAGCAAAAACTCGACTCGACTCGCCTCGTTTGCAGCCCTAGAAGAGTGCTGAACAGTCTCCTCCATTTCATGGAGAAATGAAGGGTCATGAGTACCAACAGGAGGAGCAATTGATTTGATTAGGAGGTCCATCTTGGAGAAGGGTCTCTCGGTGTCCTAAGCAAAATGCTCCTCGAGAAGCCTCAATTGACTGTTCGGATATGGACATTGAACATAGTATGGGTATGCAAAATGGCCTTGAAGGCCGCCATGGCTAATCCAACTCCGATGGCCTCTCTGGTTGTGGAAGAAATTCTTCTTGATAAGAAATTGTTCTTGAAATGTCTAAGGGTCTGGTTGTTCTTCATAGTAGAGGGGTTGGTATTGCAATCCAAATCCATAGTCTTCTCCTCCTTTATTGCTCCAGGAAGTCTCGGGGTAATACCACTCGGGTGGTGGTGGATACCCCCAATGATTGGAGAAGCCATTAGGATCCATGATTCAGGCCTGCATAAACAAAAACACCCAAGTGAAAAGCAAGGGTGGAAAAGTAAAACAAAATAAAAAAACACTAAATTAACAAACTTCTGCCTTTCTTAATAATCTAGAAAGTCCCCAGCAACGGCGCCAAAAACTTGACTCGCTACTACACAACTCCTAACAGCGGCCAAGTGTAACGAATGAAAGGGCCTGCAGTATAGTGGTGCAAGTAATAAATATCGAATCCATGAGGTCTCTAGATTTACTATTACTCAACTTTAGCTTGTTATATAGCAAATCAGATTAAGTTTTGATTAACTAAACTACTCCTAACAGGTTGGGAACTCATTTAGGTATGATTCCCCCTAGCCACTAGCGAGATTAATAGTTGATGATCTCTAACCTGTTTCACTTTCATTCACAATGATGAGAATCTTTGACTAGACCTTGGATATCGACTAAAGAAATCAAGGCCCTCTTGAGTCGATTGCCTAGAGGGACGTATCCTTCTCTAGACCAACCGGTTAAGGCATTCTGAACTAGATTCCCTCTATCGAATGAGGTTCTCAATCGATACAAAGTAGTGAATCGACCCTCGACTAAAGAATTCAATCCAATACTATCAATCAATGGTGCTCTATTAACCTAATAAGGTATTCGCTCTCATAGGATCAAAGCATAATCAATAATCTCGACTAAAGCAGAATTGAATCATGTAAACATGCATAGATTGAATATGAACTCAAGATTATCAAATAGGAGTACTCATACAATCATCCAATCAAACAAACATAGCTAGGGTTCCCCATAACCTAAGTGAAGGGAAGTTACTCCATAGAGAAGAGAGAGAATGCATAAATATGATCTAGATCTTCAATCTCCATCTCCAAGCTTGATTCCCAAGCTCCAATAGTGAAGAAAACCTCCAAAATAGCTTCAAGAATGATCCCAATGTGCTCTCTCTCTAGGGTTAGTCCCTTAGGTGTTTGAGATCCAAAACCCAGTTCTCTATCTCCAAAAATGCACAAAACATGCTTTTATACTCGCTTCTGGAAGTTCCTCGGTCATATTACCCGATCGGGTAATTGTACTTGGTGACCGGGGATCTTCAAGACGCTCAGTGTCACTTTTCTTTGCAAAAGGGAAATTTTCCGGTCGGGTGTTTCAGATCCCTGGTCGTAATTGGACCTCCTGACTGGGGATTTCTACTGATCAAAATCCCCTACCTGACTTCCTAATCCCCTACCGGGGGTTTTGAACCTCCAAATCAGGGATTTCACCATTCCAGGTCCTCGGCCTTTGATTCTTCAGTTCTCCCTTGTCCGGACTCCGAATCAAGTGTCGTTTGATTCCAGATGTTCGTAGTCTAGCCTTATTTTCTTAAGTAACAAATGATTGTTTGGTCACAAAATGAGGTAGAAATCCATTCTTCTTCTGGTCATCCTCGAGTTTCTTCTCCCGAGTTGCCAATTGATCTCCGATTGACTTGAAACTTACGCCTATGCTTCACTTTACTTGCTAGGACCTTAAATGTGACAAAAGAACACAATTTAGCGTAAAATAGGCCAAAGAAGCAATAATACAAGCTTAAACGATAAAAAACAAAGGAGAAAACATGTGCAAATATCGAGTCATCATATGTTAATTATAAAATTCTATACGACTCATCAACAATTTTCTGCATATAATAATTACAATCCACTTTAGCAACTCATTAACCAATAATACTTGAGACAGCTGAAGAGTGAAAAGTAGTCATTATCTTAAGTTCATAATTAGATTTGATGTTAACATTTCATCAAACATAGTTATAAAATGCAGTTCGATTATGTAAAACTATGACTATGACCATGGTATGGTTGAGTTTGGACTAAAATATAACTTAGAATGGGTTTTACTCCGTAGTTAGATTGGGATTTCGTCACAAAAGTATGGTTTTTGGCTTTTTGCCACTAGCGGGTACATTTCTAGCATTTTCATACCATCCCATTGTCAAGTTGAGAAGAAGAAGTAATAAATCGGCTTACACTTATTTGAATGGTAACTTGATCCCAGAGGATTTGTTATACCGCAAACAGAATGCCGTATCTGGAAACTCTGGTGTATTCAAATGTCTACTCTGAATCACCCGCCATTACAAATTTACAATTCCTTTCCCACGGTTGGACGAAAACAGAGTTCTGAGAGAGAAAAAAAGCTTCCTCTGTTTTTTCAATGGCCAGAGGCAGAGCAGTTCCCTTCTTCTCGATTACCGTTCTTGTGGCGTGCTTCCTCCTTCTCTTCGCCGCAGAGCCCACTTCCGCCCGGATTCAACTCCCGGCAAACGAATCTATCCCGGCGATTTTTGTGTTCGGGGACTCGATCCTTGATACTGGAAACAACAACGGCTTACTCGCTTCCCCTTGCAGGAGCAACTTCCCGCCTTACGGCAGGGCATTCGACGGCGGAGTTCCCACCGGCAGATTCTCCGATGGGAGAGTCCCGTCGGATTTCATGGGTTTGTATATCTTTCATCTCAACTTTGATTTATTAGGCCCGCAATGAAATGTATTGAATTCCCTCTCGTTCTTTTGTTTTTTCCCAGTGGAAGAGCTTGGTATTAAGGACACTCTGCCGGCATACAAGGATCCAAATCTAAAGCTGGAAGAACTTCTCACCGGCGTCAACTTTGCTTCCGGCTGTGTTGGATTCGACGACCTAGCATCAAAACTTGGGGTTGATTCAATTTCCTATGTTTTTCTTTTACGTGGAAAATCATTCTTACCAATAAATTGTTAATTACTGTTTTTTTTTTTCTCAGATGGTACCGCCATTGAGTCAACAGCTAAGAGAGTTCAATGACTACGTGAACAAAGTGAAAGAGATGATAGGAGAAGAAGCAATGGCCAAACTGTTAGCTAAGAGCATAGTTATAATCTCTTTATGCAGTAACGACATAGTTCAAGCGTACTTCAATTCTCACATCAGAGAACTCCAATACGACTTCTCGACTTACGCTGACATTCTAGTCAAATCCGCCACGACCTTTTTGATGGTAAAACAATACACCTTTATTTCTTCAAAAAAATGTCCACAATGTTAAAATTAATAAAAAAATTCACTCATTACAAAACTAAACATAACTTTTTTCCAAAATCCTAAAGTTTGGAGCGAATCGCACTGATCGCTAGAGTGTGTGGCGAACCACTTTTTTATTTGCTTCTGTCTTAAGCGAATCACTCAAAAAACTATTGTATTTTGAATTTGTTTTAAAGTTTTGTATTGTAATGATTTTATTTCATGAACTATTGCATCGTGGGAATTTTTTTTATTTCTGTATACATTGTTTCTTAAGTTATTTTCAATTGTTTTATTTGGATTGGAAAAAAAGGAATTGTACTCAATCGGGTGCCGGAGAATCGGCATGTTTGGAGCACCACCGCTCGGATGTATTCCGTTCATCAGAACCATGACCGGAGGAGTAGAAAGAATGTGTAGCGAAAGGCATAACCAGGCGTCACAATTATACAACTCCAAGCTGATTTCGTCGATGAATTCCCTACAGAGCTCGAGAAACTTGGATCCCGGTGCTAGGTTGGTCTACCTCGACCTCTATGATCCTATGATGCATCTCATCGTTAACTATCGATCTTATGGTACGTATATCGATCATCGTCGACTATCGATCTCGTAGTTGCAATAACACATGCTACTATGATATGTTATGCTTTTGTTGCTATGGTTGTGGTAGGGTTCGAGGTAGCGGACAAAGGGTGTTGTGGGATGGGGCAAGTCGAGATGTCTGTGTTGTGCAACAAATACAATCCCTACACATGTACTGATGGCTCCAAGTACGTGTTCTGGGACTCCTACCATCCCACGGAGAAGACTTATAAGTTGCTGGTTAGCCAGTGTCTTGCTAGCTACCTCCACAACTTCCTGTAGCAAGGCTATTAGTAGGTTTCTGTTACTTAATTTTTTTTGTACGAATCGAGGAAGGATGCATGTGTACGTCGAGTCATTGGGAGGAGTGGGTCAAAAGAAAGGATGGCGGTGACTTTGTCATTTTAATAAAAAAGATTGATCTTTCATCGTCATACCATCTAGTCCTCCTAGCTCCGATTAGTCACGCCTCAACCAACTAATCACGTCCAACTTTGCATAGACGTTATGAATTCCTAATGATTTTTCTAAAGCCTAGGTAAATTGTTTTGTCGTTACCTAGCATCTAGGCATATACGGAATTACGGCTTCTTGAACCGATTGTAACCACTATTATGATACTATAAATCTAGTACTGTTATAAACAACTACAAGAGAATATTAGAGTGGAAAGACACAAAAAAGAGAGGAGGAAGAGAGCTTTCTTATTCATTTTTTACTTTTGAGACAATGGTGTCCTCTATTTATAGGCACATCTTGGTAACCACTAAATCCTTATATCAATGAGAGATAATGAAACATAAAGGAGCTATCAAATGTAGGAATAGAGGTTACATATAACTCGCAAGTGAGCATCCAATGTGGTAATGGAAATGGTCATCCATATATCAATATTTACATAATACTCCCCCTTTGGATAACCACTAGATTGCATTATCTCATACTGCCTCGCTATGCTCCCCCTCATGACCACATCATATCTTTGAGTCGTTGAACTCAAATTTCACGAACAACTTTTAGAAAGATTGTGGTCGGGAGTGAGTTAGTGAACAATCTTTTAGATTATCAATTTGATGCGATCTTTAGATTTTCTTCATACAGGATCGTCAAGATCATTTCTTTTGGAAATAGTTCACAGCCACACGTCCTTTAGATATGGTGAATAACAAAGTGTAACGAAATACATTCAGGACTTGCCTACTATAGTTTGTTTTGGATCTCTATGAAACAGTCACATCACCATATGTAAGAGATAGCTCATCTCCAATCAACCAATATGAGGATCAAATAATATATAGAATTTGGATATATAGTTCACCAAATATCTCTTTGATAATAATATAATAGAACAATCGCATATATTGTTCCTAAAGGTAACAAAGTATTTTCAAACGTTCCATTGAGGAAACCATGTATTTTGCTTATATTATCAACACCAAAATGATATTTTGTATGGTGCTCTAATGCATCAGCATATGGTACTTCAGGACCTAGTACATCAACATATAGTACTTCAGGACTTAATGTTTCACTTCTTTCTCGATGCCTAAATGGATCTTTGGTTACTTCTAGTGATCTTAGATCCTAATGTTATTTGATGAACATAATTTGTTCATGCAAAATTATGTTTTCAAATTTTCAACATAACCTTCCTTGCCCATAAAAAGATCTTAAATCCTTCAATTTAACTTATGTCTCTATGCAATCAACTGCTTTAGAAAGCTCTTCAGGAGCTCCAATAATAGTCATATCATCTACATAATATGAGATCGTCACAAAGATTTGATACAAGCAATTCTTTTATATTACGAAAGATAATAACAAAACTCACATCATAGAATCAGTATGAACTCGACAATTAAAGCAAACTCATAAAACACAAATCATACTTTAAAGTAAAACACAACACATAAACCAAGAATTTAAAATCCTTGAAGCACATACAAACAACACAACTATATATGCACAGGTTAATTGTATGGTTGGTCACTGATTACAAAAAACATTCATGTTTGGTCACTGAAAATATTTAAATCCAATCTTGGTCACTTAAATTAGTTAAATGGTTCAAGTTGGTCACTCTCCGTCCAACTCCATTAAATTTGTCTGATGTGGCAGTCGATCATCAAAGTTGACCGTTAACTTAGTGATGTGGCAATTAAAAATAATAAATAAATTGAATTTTATCCCAAAAACAAATCCATACAATAATACTCAAACGGTCAAACCTAGTAAACAATTCATTATTCAAAACTTGCAGCCTAGGCATATCAAAGAGAAAAGAAAAATATTTCTAGCAGCACACCAACTAATTAATAATTAGATGGCAAGATCCAATCGTGGAAATTAAAATCTGAACGAATGCAAGCAAGTCGCTCACAATTAAGACCAAATATCTCCTCCCTATCATAAACACAATTCCTTTTGCACTCGGGATGATCTTTGACAGATATGTATGCAGATTTGTACGGATCGTAGAACAGAGCGTACCCACCTATGTCTCTGACCTCATTCCACCTCTGCTCATATTCAATAATCTCGTAAACACCGAATCCAATCCCTAAAAGATTTGTGTCATTCAATGCTCCGTTATAGGTTTTGATCACGAGCATCCGCTCTCCCTCTGGATTTATTGCCAGGCGGCAGCTGATTCCAAATCGGCGAAACAGAGCATCAGAATTCGCAGGACGTAAAAACAACGAAAGCATGGGTAGTTGGTCAAGAAGATCACAGGCGAAAACGCTTCCATCGAGTGGGTTTAACACGTAAAGAATTTTCCCCCGGTAAAGGACAATCCTCCACTTGCCCAAATTAAATGGTTGGCCCTCTGAGGGAGCGATGAACGACCACAGTTGTTGATTAGCACCTCCACCGATTTTGCAGAAAGCTAGTTTGCCAGGAAAAGATTGACCGTTAACAGTCAAATGGTTGGCCCAAAGTTCATTCAGAACGAAGTCAACCAAGCAATAGTCGCGCTTTCCGCCTACTGCCCGTCGTTGGGGCCGGCTGCAGGCCTACTGTGCGTTGACGGAGTTGGAGGAAGGGGCGGGGTCGAGGGTTGAGGAAGTGCAGGTGATTATGGTCGGGGAGCGGCAGGGACGGCGGCCACGGGCGGAGCTAGGGATAGGAATTGGGAGCAGGAGCTGGTTTGGTTGCAGGGAAGGGATGTAGTGGCGGAGGAAGCGCCTCTTTTCACTTATAATTATTTTGTTGTATTTATTTTACTTTATTGTGAAAATGAGTTGGAAATGGTAGAAGATTAAAATTTATTTTATTTATTATTTTTTAATTGCCACATCACTGAGTTAACGGTCAACTTTGAGGGTTGACTGCCACATTAGACAAATTTAACGGAGTTGGACGGAGATTGATCAAACTTGAACCATTTAACTAATTTGAGTGACCAAGATTGGATTTAAATATTTCCAGTGACCAAACATGAATGTTTTTTTTTTAATCTCAGTGACTAACCATGCAATTAACCCATATATGCACAATCCAAATGCTCTAATGCACTCTACCCGGATTTAATCTTTTAAGGTCCATTCATCATACTGTTGTAGGTGTTCACTTAGACGAGTATTTCACATTCGTTTATATTGTCTCAACCCATACAAGGGATTTTCTTAGTCTATCGATATATGTTCTCGAGAATTTTACTTGTTTACTTCAGGTAAATTAATCCTTCTGGGAGTTTCAAATATATATAACATCTTCAGGAAATTCAAACAAATAGGCTATCACAACAATTTTCAAACATTGATTTAAATATTTATTTGAAAAAAGTAGTTGCATCCACCACAGGGGAGCATGTCTCCTCTCAAACAATGATAAGTCTCTTCAAGAAACCCATTGCAAAACATTATGCTATATCTCTCACAATTTCATATTTTCCAATAGCACAAGAATTTGTTTGTATCCCGCTAGTTTTATCCTTTCAGTTGTAAGGACTTATAGTCCTTAAACTTTATGCTCCATGAGCAAGTTTCATGATTTCTTTCTATATTGGCCAACAACATCATCATTTGCATGAAGCAATAGAGTTTTACTCTTGATCCTCACTTGTATATATCATATTTAGTACTGAAGTCAACAAATTTTGTTGACAATGACTTTATTACGGTTCCAGTATTGTAGTCCAATATGTTTTTGAGATCTCTTCACTTTCACAACTTTCATACACATGTGTTGTTCTAGAACTAAAATCTTACTTTATTCTTGGTTACTCTTCTTGAGTTTTCATGTTCTCGAGTTGACCATTCTAATAACAACTCTTTTTCTTTCTCGAGGATGTTTATCATTGGAACCGATTAGTCTATCACGCTTCATGTGCCCTTTCAAACACTTTTTTTATATTAGAGTATCCAACAAGGATATCAAATTTAGTTGGAGCATTCACAACTAGTATATGTGACTTGGTTACTTCGTATGGTCAGTAAAGGCATTTGATAGTTGGTAACGATAATTCATCTTATGAACTTCAGGTTCATGTTTCTTACTTACTTTGAGGATCAAAACTAGATAATGATAACTCATTCCAACTCATCTCTTTGCCTAGCTGTTTTATCTCTCCCCCTTAATGTTGGAAAAGTAATCCATCAAAATAATAATTTCGCAAACAAATTTCCCATTTGGGATTCATACCCAACACAAATTCTCAATCTCCATCGAGAATCAACTTAAGATACTGTGGTGGAGCAATTGGGATGTATGTGACACACCCTGATATTCTCATATGGAAAATGCATGTTAGGTTTCTGACTAAAACCATTTGTAAAAGGGGGAGAACTTATGATAACTTGTTGGTTAGATGCGAACTAATACTATCACTTGTCAGCTAGCATGTCCTCGACAAGAGACCAGAAGGCTTAGCTTGTTCTCATAAGCAAAGTGATGTTTGATTGGATAACCATCAAAATGTATCTATAGTGAGGCAACCAATCTCGCAAACATCGGGTTGTGATTAGATAAAATACATGTGATCATCCATCTGATGCATCAACCCATAAAATTTACAAATGATCCACATGACTGATGTATTGTTCTGCTTACACGTTCATAAAATCTCAAAAGATTTGCCAACTATTTTACAAGCGATGCTTAATTGTTGTATTCTCGTTGAGACCAAGCATGGGATAATTACTTCTTTAGTTGAAGAATTCTTTTACTTCTCATACGATGTTCTCATGAATTCTCAAAGAATCTTTTTCACATCATGATCTGGGGTGGTCTAACCGGACCAACCAAATTACCAAGTTATCAAATCTTGTAAACTTCTGGTTTACATTTTTTATATGTATTGATAGTACTAATATACATGTAGTACATATTTGTGATGCAAATATTAGTTTCACTATTTCCATGATAAGATATTTATTTTTGTGGATATCCTTTTAATTGGATAATGCATCATCACTAGGTAGTATGGTTCCTTCAGGTCAAAAAATATTAGCTCTTTTAGAGCTTTACCATATTTCGCCCTTCCGGGAACTTATGATTTGATGCATTCTTAGTAAACACATATTCATAGTGAATACCATCACAAATTGTTATCACAAGTACATAATTTAGTTACTTCAAGTAACCAAACATAAGCTCTTCGGATGCTTTTTCTTCTTTATGTACCCTGCCATATAAATTATATGGAATTTTTCTAACACTCGTACTTTACAAAAACATACTAAAAATAATAAATTAGAATATTTCAAACTTAAGACAAAAATGACGAATTTATCAAGTTAATTGTTCTAGATAAAAGTCATCAAATTAAATTATGCATGAAATAACGTCACAATAAAACATAAAATAAAATAAGAATCATAATACTACAATTGTGAAAATTAAATAAGCTTTATTTGGAGCAATACTATTACTAACTAGGTGATTTTAAATTTATATATGTGTTTCATTATACATTTCAATGTACAACGAGTACATTATGTTATCATGACTTTGATAATGCAATTGTTGTGTCATCCTCATTTATAATTCTCATTTTCCCCTCTTTTCTCACTTCTGGTGAAAAGATCCAAACAATACATTTAACATATATATAATTATGTTTATAGCTCCATTCACTTCGGGGAATAGATTGTTTCATTCACTTCTGGAAATGAAAATTTCTCAAGTGCAATATCATTTTCATATTTAATGGAGAATATACCAACTAATAATACAAAAAAATATTTTCATAATATTGATATTGCAGGAGCGTTAGGAATTTATTTTTCCCTTTGATTCTTGGTAGAATAAGGTTTTTTGCGTATAATAGGTACGAGACAAACGCATTTTTCCATTACAATGGTAACCTACATAACCAATATTCTTGTTACCATCTCCATTCCTTTCTTTGCCCTTGAATTCTTCAATCCCCATGAGCTCTTGGAACTTGCATTTTGTACATATCAATGTAGGAATGATAAGAATAGGATAACACGGAGAACTAAGATATTAACTCATCACTTATATTACTTTTCTTGTTATTGCTACTACATGAGCAAATTTTAATTTGCGATAATGTCAAAACACATTTTTAATTTTAAGGAATCGATATATGTGCTGTAAAACACAGAATAATATAAATCAAATCACATAACCCAAAATTTTAATCTAAATAGATGTACGTCATAAAATATCAATGGATGGTCTACTATGAGAAAAATAGTATCATCCATCTTAATACATTGGAACGAGATAATCTCAACACAAATAAGATAACAAGATATGAAAGAAGATGAAGATTTGCATACCTTGACCATATTGTGATCTTACTCCAATATACTAGATTGTGTAGAGAGACAATGACCAACCATGATACTAACAGAGCTTCCTGCTGACAACGTGTTATAAAACTAATGAAAATATAAACAACTACAAGAGAATATTAGAGTGGAAAGACACAAAATCAGAGAGGAGGAAGAGAGCTTTCTTATTCATTCTTCACTTTTGATACAATCGTGTGCTATATTTATAGGCACATCTTGGTAACTACTACATCCTTATATCAATGAGAGATAAAGAAACATAAAGAAGCTATCAAATGTAGGGAATAGGGGTTACATGTAATTCCCAGCTGAGCATCTAATGTGGTTATGTCAATGGTCATCCATATATCAATATTACATAATAAGTACAAATATATCATTTGATGGGCCTCATAAACAAGACCCAAGCATCAAATTCCCTTACTATTTATTAGCACAAGTTATCTGTATGATACGAGCCTTATTAATCAAAGACACATGCCCAAATTTCTCTCTATTACACAAGCCTTCCCATCCAGATTCCAGAGTTATGTTACCCAATTCACCGACTCGTCCAAATTCGCGAATTATATTTCGCTGGAGCACAACTTATATTTGGATATATGTTGTCGTCGTCTAGTGGGGTTGGACAAGAGTTGGTAGGATTTGATCGGCGTCTGGCTGGGATTGTGCATTTTGGTGTGGACTGAGACTTGCAAGTGTAACGTAATCCATGACACCCTTAAACACAATCCATAATGGAAAATTCTAGCAAAGTGTGTGATGTAAGAATTTGAATGGTAAATACACATTATCGGTTTAAATATCGGGGCTATTAATAAATAAATAAACTAATTTAATGGTATTATAAAAAAAGGCCTAATACTAGAAAAGGACCCATAGTTTGGACTTTCTGTCACTTGTACCCCAACGTTTGTATCGCGTTAGTTATGTCTCAATGTTTA